CACCATTCCTGAACCAATTTGTCTCATCGTCCTTTCCCTAAGATTTGACAGCTAAGATTTCAGCTCCATCAGGTCCACCTCCACTTTTGGCCCGAAAGCTAATCCCTGAAAATTGGCTTCCTTCCCAGCCCTCATGAAACATCCAGCCAGTGTTCCCACAAATTATCCATCGTATGCTTTGGTTTTTGGATAAACGTGCATCTGTGATGGGAGCCTATCTTCCAAGTCAAAATAAGAGCGTGTGTGTGTGTGTGTGTGTGTGTGTGTGTGTGTGTGTGTGTGTGTGTGTGTGTGTGTGTGTGTGTGTGTGTGTGGTGAGGAACAGCAGCGATGGCACACAGCTGAATTTAACTCTCACAAGCCAACCACAATCCATCAATTAGGCTCGTGTTTCGCACCGACGCAGTTCTGGTTACATGACCGCATTTCTCCACTAAATGTTCTTGTTTGTTTGCAGATATTTGAACCTTGATCAGGAAATGTGCTCAGCCACAAATAAGCTGTCCTTCAGAATCGGTAAGTGGCACATGGTTATGTGGTCATCAAGAAGAGAAGTGTATTCTAGGTATTCACTTGAAGGAAGAAGCGCTACACATATATAATACATACGGCCACCGACCTTCCCCCGGTCAGCGGGAGTACAGCATTTTCAAGAGGTAACTGCGAGCAATTTCTAATAATAAGAACTGTTTCTGCGTACTGCTTTCTAACAGTCTATCCACACTTATTCATGGCATTCAGAGTTCTTTTGAAGAGGAGCACTTTGCATTCATGGCAGCTACTCACCGATCACCTCGCGAATTGGCACAGCATAGGTGAGCGTGGCTGGCTCACTGCGGCCACCGGCGTTTATGGCCACCACGCGCACCAGCAGCAGGTCACCTGTTGTCAGATCCTTGATGCAGTAGCGGGTAGCCGGGGTCAACTCCTTGTTTGCTACCACCCAGTCCGTAGCTGCCGGGACATCAAAATCGGGTTGTGTTAGACAATCAGTAGACGCTGACAAAAACCAACCCTCTTTTGAAAGGGACAAATGATGGAATATTGACTTTTACTTACAAATACAATATTTTTAACATATAAATACAATATTTTATATATAAAAATATTTTACATAAAACTTAAAAGAACAAGAACAACAAGTATGCAACAAGTTAAATAAAACATTAAAATAATCTTAATAATAGTAAACACTTGCTGTGCACACGTTGGTCTCTCAGAGGCAGTGGGTGAAGATTAAAAATAGTAGAAGAAGCACCAAACTGTCTTCATTAAACTTGTTTTTCACAGATATGGAAGACTATATTTTTATATTACCCGCTTGTATGTTTTACTAAAGCGTTTGGGTGTGAATATGCATTATTTGAGGTTAAATCCCCTTGTGATGTTTAATGCAAATTTCCACTAGCCAGTGAACAGGGGTTTCCATTGAGTGCGAGAAATAAGTTGCCCATGTCCCAAAAACTAAGTGTGTGTTTCTTTATGGTGGGTGTTTAGTTTTATAACAAACTCCAACTGGGGCATCATTAAACAAAGCAAGCTCTGGGAGGGTAGAATAATGTATCATATGTTGGGTGTGCCACGTTGAAAGAGAATGAAAGGATCCCTAATTAAAGTCGGCTGTGACCACTCCCGCAGTGGCGCAGATGTCCCCCTTGCAGATCCACCGGCCTGCAAAATTATTGGATATTTTACCAAATATGTGTTACAGGCAAGTTACAACAACAAATGGAAGCCCTTTTAAATAATGCAGAATATCTCCTTTAGTGAGTGATAGCTTGGCGACATCCGTTTACAAACAACATACAGTAAGGATGACATTTTGGCAGCCATGACAAAACGTCATCTGAGCAATGGAGCATTCCTAAAAGAGGCATCAGGAGGTATGACAACTACCGCCTATAGCCCCCGACGCAGCTATGAGTCAATCTGACCTCTGACAACTGGAGGACAGGTGTGGCCTCACATGTGCTACCCACGCACGCACGCACGCACGCACGCACGCACGCACGCACGCACACACACACACACACACACACACACACACACACACACACACACACACACACACTTCCTGGAGCAAGTGAGAAGGCAAGCTTACTTCCATCTTTGCAGTACTCAACAGTGTATCCATCCAGGCCAGATTCTCCGATAGTGTCTGGCGTCTTCCACTTGACGGTGAGGCTCACCTCGTTCACGTCCTCCACAGATATATCCAATGGAGCGCTGGTTGGAACTGCTAATAAACAGTAGAAAGAATTCTGTTTATTAGTAGAATAATTATTTAGCAGTAATGGATGCTGAGTTTCAACTTCTGCAGGGTTGCTCGAGTTCTGCATAAAGAAACGCATTTGATCCCAACAGAGTAGTGTTTCCCAACATTTATTGAGCCAAGGCACATATTTTACATTTGGAAAAAAACTTAAACAAATATCTAAATAAAAATAAAAAGTGCAGTATTCCCAGAAATAATGATGGTCTCGTCTCAATTCAATCACAAATTTTAAATCTGGGCCTGTTTTGATATTATTCTGTTGTATGAATGGCAACATGTGGATAGACTGGTCCATTGGACCTTCTGTCATCTCGTGGAAAAGCATTTAATTGTTATTCATGTCACTACACGCGGCTGGCATAGATAGATAAACAAAATTAGTTGATGGACATTTTTGACCACCTAAGTGAAATTAGATACCATAATTGGATAATGTTCCACGGCCAAATAATGTTTGGTTGGGAATCATTGCCATGGTTCTTTGAATCATTGAATCACTCACCTGATTTGATCATAATAAAAGGACACACTTTTACACACTTTACCTGAAGGAGGTGGGGGTGTTGGGGCCTTGGGTGGCTCCTCAACTGGCGGTGCAGCTCCTGCTGGAAAAACAGCAGGTTAGCATTATGTACATGAGCTGCTGAAATAAAGCATATCTGTAGTGTCAGTCTGAATTGCTTTGCTTTGTTTACCATCTGGAGGTGCATCTGTAGCAGGGACTGTGACGTCGCCTTCAGGAGCGGCTTCAGCAGCTAGTGATAAAAAGCAGTCCAGGTTTGAACCGCGGTAGACAAGACAGAGAAAATTTCTCTTTTTTTTGTAAAAATATTCATACAGTAATACTTTCCATTCTATTTGTGTATATAAAGATATCTAGCTCTTATTCATTCATGTGCCGACATTTTAATGACATCAAATTGGATGACACTCTCTGTTGTTTGTGATGAAGGGTATCAAATAGTAACAAAGCCTGGTATGACATGGTGAAAAAGATAATTGTCGCCACGGTATAGAATATGTGTTCACACAAATTACACACGTTCAACCATAAACAATTAATTTGTGGCCACAGAGTGGGTAGAATGCAGACGCAAAATAAAAACAATGTTGAAATCATTACTTGACAGTTGGTACGAGGTGCAATGTTTTCCAGGCTTTGCTGAGCCAGGCACATATTTTACTTTACATTACAAAAATCTCACGGTTTCCTATTAAACGCAAAATGACAAAAAATGTGTAAAGACTGAGATCATGATGATCACATCTGAATTTACAATTTTTAAAAACTGAAATCAATTCCTGTTGAACACAAAGTTATTATTCTGGTGTATGAACGTCAACAAGTAGTATCTTAGTTGTACCTTTGGCCATCTAGTCGAAGAGCATTTGCTTTGCCCATCAATCCAAGTTTTTGTCAAAGATAAACATTATTAGAGGCTCGACTAGAGGACGGGGCTTATTGCACTTTCGAGCAAATTCAAGTTGTTCGAGGGAATAACATCAAACGTAGAAAGGAATATTTCATGGCCACATGATAACTATGTCGTGGCCACAAATAAAAAGTAATTTAAGTAATTCGAACACCGGTGGCACATCATTAAAACGCTTCACATTCCACTTGCCGTAGACTGTATTAAAATAACATGACTCACTATGAACAGGACAGTTTTTCTATAATGATTCTTTTTCCCTACGAGATTTTATTACCTTCCTCAGTACCTGAAGCGCTTTGTTCCGTCGCGGCGGGTGATGCTTCTCCCTCGACCACGGGTACGGCCTCGGCAGGTGTCTCCGCCGAAGCGAGCTCGGCTTTTGCGGCTGGCGGATCCGGCTCCGGTGCCTTCTCGGCCGCCTTCTTGGTGGGGGACTTCTTAATGGGCGCGGGCTTGCCTGGCATCGTGGAGACAGTCCTCTGGATGAAGGCGTCTGGTACCTCGGGGGTCATTTATAAGGCGGCCTGAGCTTGGGGACAAGTTTACTCCACCCATTGCCTCCCTGGTTTGTCTGTGCGGTGTCCACCCCCTCCACCACTGACAAGTTGTCACATCCATGTCGTGGGCTCGTCAGTTAACACGTTAGCGCTTTCATTTTCAGCACAAACATACATACAAACATGTATGCACATAGCTCCAAGTAAAAGTAATTTACAATTGTATATACATTGGGTCACAAATACAATAACCAGGGGCAGTGGGTGGCATGTGCGGCAACGCGTCCGCAATACGTTTAGAAAATGTTAAATAAAATGGTTTTCTATTGTGTCATGGCTTGTCATGTCAATCATTGGCGCTTGTACAGGGCCACTCCCGCTTTGTCGAGTCGCCCTGTGCAGAGGAGAATCAGGTTCAGGGTCTTAAAAGTTACAGTAAGTCACACTTATTTTTAACATGGAGAGGAAAAGGTCAAAGCCATGAGATGCCCACCTAAAGAAAAGAGAGGGAACAAGTAAAGGAAGACAGCTTTATTCTTCATGATTATGCTTCCAATTTGAAACTGCTGATGAACTCAAATGTCGTAATTATTATATATTATCTCAACAATCAAATCCTTAACATAAAACAAAACAGGCACGCTGGGAAACAAAGCCCAAAAGGCAAAGGGTCTTTCGCATAAGGAGCTATTCAAGCTAATCATTCATGGACAAACAAATTCAATTTCATTTCTGCCCCCCCCCACCCCCCCAAGTGACAACATGACATCAGCATGACAACCAACACAGCTATGAAATTATACATAAAATGACATGACTTTATTGTGTCCAGAGCTCCATGTTAGACATGTGATGCAGCCCGGTTACAGAGACATGACGCAAAAAAGCACTTCAGCCCACCTTAAAATCAAGAGCTCCTTCCTCTCACTGGAGGAAGACAATAAACCGAAACCAAGGCCCATTTTCTGCATTTTTCTTTAAATTTCCACTCTTTTTCAGGATTGTTGTCGCAGATGCACTGGTTATTTACAGTGTTTACAACAGAGATGTCATGTACAAAAGAGAAATCAATATTTACATATATTTGCATAAGAAAAAAGCTTTTAAAAACAAGGTGAAAAGAAGATTATTATTATTATCAGTATTTTTTTTTTTTTTACAAAACATGATAGGTCCAATCAAAGTAAAAGCTTTTGGAAACATGGGAAAATGGTGATCATTACTTCATCTCCAAACATTTCTTGTATGTCCACACTTTTCCACACTCATGAAATCACAGACATCTTCGCAGCCCACATGCATTAGTCTTGCAAACAGCTCTTCCACTTGACTAACCAACCGAAGGTCCAAACCATCATCGCCATACCCGAAGCCGTCTGACATCTGAGTTAGGTGAGCGGAAGTAATGAGCTGCTTCCGATGATAACTTGCTTTAAATTGAGGCCTCGGGTGGTAGATTCAAGAAGCTCGAAGGCAGCTTCAGGCCAGATGGGGCTTTCAGGCACAGGCAGATGTAGGCATCGCATCTCTACTTAAACCTCAGCACCTTGTTTGCAAAGTAAAGAAACCGGAGACAGAATATGTTGGAAAATATTTCTGGGGGTGGGGCGGGGGACTAAAAAAGGAGACTTTTTCAGTCATAAATCTGTGAAAAAGGAATGTCATTGTAGTGAAAAAAAGCAAGTAGCGAGAGGAAGGAAAAAACTTTGTGTGAAGATTCCGATGTTCTTAGATGAACAAAGCAACAAGGGCGGAAGCACTCATTTGTTTTTGGACTCCGAGGTGTTATAGGTGTATGAAATGAGACAATATTTGCTGCAAATGGCTGATTATTACTGAAGATGAGTCAGTATAAAACCCTACAAAAGATGAAATCCTCATCTATCACAAAAAAAAAGGTTTTCAAACGGCAACAGTAATTGTCTGTTTTATCAGGTTAAATAAACAAGCACTTTTGTTTCCACACTTCTGTGCCTTCACAATCGAGGTTCAGCAGGATGAAACCACTTCAACGAGGCACTGCACGTTTCACTTGTTTGACTGTGGAGTGGGAGCAACAACCAGCAAGGTGGGAGCCTGCTCGTGCTGCCACCTAGTGGTATTACTGCTTAACTGGAGCATTCTCCTTTGGACACGATGTCTCCTCCTTTGTCCAGTTTTCACACATTGGAAATAAAGTGCAATTTTGGCATTGAACAAAGTATGTGAGCATCCCTCACATCCATAGCTTCAGAAGGGGGAAAATGCACGTCGGGACTGGTTTTCATGCTTCTCGCCTCAGAATAAATCGATCCAGCTTCGGATGATCACAACGGCAATGTTTCTTTTTGCAGAGGGAGGCTATTGTCTTTCAAGTTTCTTCTCAGAGCGGATGTGGGCCGCCATCCCGCTCTGGCGACTCAATGCTGTTTGCAGACTCCTGCAGCTTCAGCAGCATTATCATCTTTGAACAGGGAAGGCAAAAACATAGTTGACGGTGTCAGGTGACTTTGCTTAGCTCTTGAAAAATTGTGTACATCTAAAAGAGAAAACTCACCAGCGGATCAGGCTCCAGCGAGCTGGGCGGAGGAGTGTCTTTGGGGGGCTTCTTCTCCTCGTTGTGCGGCCCTGTGCTTGGAGGAGGTAAGTGATAGAGTTTGGACTGGTCCTGCTGTGCGCTGGGCCAAGGGAGGGTCCCTCTCACCCACTCCACGGGATCCTCCCACACTGCCTTGTGGCCGTGCACCTGGACAACAAAACTCATGAGCATGTTGTCATGATCGCACTTCTTGCTGCAGCACATGCACGTGTGCCCACCTTGATGCCGTCCTTGGCTCCTTCCTGAAGGTACGGTATGATGGAGTGGTTCCACAGGTCAATGAACCACTTTCTGAACTCTGCCACTGACACGGGGCATGACAGGAAGAAGCAAGGGCCTGATGTGGGAGTGACACAATTGCTCATGAAATCATTCCTGTTTCACAATACAGTAATAAGCCTTCCATCACAGGTTCCATTTCACTAATTAGGATTTTGTTATTACGTTATTATGACTTCAAGATGGCTCCGCGAGAGTGGCTGCCTTTACAGCAGCTCCTGTACTTTTTGTTCTTCTTCTCTCTTCCTTTCATAACTTTGCTGCTGTAAATTGTGAATTTCTCCATTATGCACTTTGTATGCAGCGATGGCTGTTTGAAAGTGCTCTATAAATACAGTTGAGTTGAGTTGAGAATTATGAGACGAATAAAGGTTTTCTTATTCTTATTATTATCTTATTATTTTGATACAGTTCATAACGATTTTGCTCTAACTCTTGTTTCTAGGGCGGCTCGGTGGAAGACTGGTTAGCACGTCTGCCTCACAGTGCAGAGGTGTAGGGTTCAATTCCGGCTCCGGTCTCCATGTGCGGAGATTGCATGTTCTCTCCGTGCCTGTTTTCTCCGGGTACTCCCGTTTCCTCCCACATTCCAAAAACATGCATGGCAGGTTAATGGAACACTCTAAATTCTCCCTAGGTGTGATTGTAATCGTGAATGGTTGTTCGTCTATGTGTGCCCTGTGAGTGGCTGGCAACCAGTTCAGGGTGTACCCCACAGAGTGCCCGAAAACAGCTGGGATAGGATTGTTGGAGCTTGTTTCTAGCAGGTGTCGTCGTACTGTTGACCACTTGACGGCGGTTTACGTATTTAGCCTGAGATTAAATTTGAAAGAATGAAACACAAAATGTTTGAGCACAGTCTAGTTTTTGGTGAAGTTATTTCATGTCATCTGCTGTGATCCTGCTTTTTATGCCGATGTAAAGCAATGGCTGCAGGTTCATTTTGTAATGTACATTTTTAGACATTATTATTGATGCATAGTTTTCTTAGTTTGGAAAAAAACGTGACTTGTTTACTGTTAATACACGGAGGGATCGGAACAGTTACATTATACATTATTTTTGTGTTCTTAGTTGCTCTTGCCCTCTCTCAAAACATAATATGTATTATACAAAGCCTATGTAGGAATGGATGGATAGATGGTTTGTTATGGTTGTATTATTCCCAGTCAGCAAAGGCATCTGGCCCGGATTCGGCATGAAGCCGGCACAGCTGGCCTTGTGTCGGCACTGGCATAACGCATGTGGGCCGAACACGGCCCAGGCGTGGCAAAGGAGGCACTGGCTTGACTCTGGCAAACCAGATGAGGGCCAGTTGTGGCGTGAAGTATTTGGGCCAGAAATCAATTTCCAACTCCGGCCCGAATATGGCCAGCCAGAATTGAGCCACTCCTAAATGCAGTTTCAGATTTTTTTTTTCTACACACAGCCTTGTTTTACAATTGCACACCAATGCGGAATTCCATTCATCACACACGCGCGCACACACACACACACACACACACACACACACACACACACACACACACACACACGTGTGTGTGCGTGTTTTGCACACGCACGTCCTAATTCTTGTGCACGCTCGCAAGTGTGTTATCTGTAACCCTGTCATACCAACAAGGCGTTTTTCCAGGAACTTAACTCGTGTCCTACAACAACAGCAACTACAATAAAACCCAGCAGTAATAAAAGATTAATTCGTCGCTTTTCGTTTTCAACAAAGAGAGTGTCGCTAAAATGATTAATAGTCGTCTCCAGTTCAATTTAGAACATAATGAGAATTGAAAGTACTCCCACGGATGCCGACACTAAAAGATCGGTGATTGGCT